ATTCCATAAAGAAAAATACTTGTCTCGCGATTGAAACAGATTTGATCATTATCTTTCAACACAAAATGGAAATTTGGAGCATTGAATACTGATACCTCTGTACACAAATAATCTTGTACAGTTTCTTCAAAATCCAAATTTATATTTTATCGCATTTTTTCTTCATGAAGAAACCAATGCTGAAAGGTCCATATTTCTATACAGTACATCATATACCGTACTTGAGACACTTTTATTCGAGAAAATTGTATTACGCTGTGAAAAATTTTGTATCATTTTCAGAAATTTAATTTGCACGAAAATGATTTTGTCAAGTTGGAAAGAATGACTCAAAATTGATGCAATGAATCTCTAATGTCAGGCGTGGGGTAATGAATATATACGTCTCCACCCAGAATCTCGCGCGTTGTCAGATAAAAAGAAGTACGTTTGATAAAAAGCTAAGGCACTGCAATTGAACAACATTGGCTTAAAAAGGACAAAAGGGTGCATTTGTGCGCCATCTTTTATTAAAGACTTTCCGTCCACACAAGCTTTGGTTCGTCTCTCTCTATTTTTGTCCACAGAGACTCGGGCAAGCTGCGTTCCTCGCCTCCACTCATCATCAGCTCTTCCCTGGCGCTATTTTCGTCCAGGGGTGCACCCAGCAGCAGCCCCCTCGTCTTTTTCACCTACATCAAGAGCAACCCCGAAGAACAGATAACCGACTATTTTGCATAAGGAAGAAGGAGTTGCTCCTTAGCCTTTTGAAGGTTCACATATATATCCGTTCCTTTATTTACTTGAGCCCTCCCGCCGCTTCCCGAAACACGTTATATGACTACTGTGCGTGCGTAGGCTGCGCACCGTTTGGGCCCGGCAGAAACAACCCTAAGAAAGAGAAACTGTTCTCATTTTTAGATTGAAAAGCAGAGGATATATTGAGAAAAAAAGGTCTGTACTATAGTTATTCAGTCTGTAATATATAGAGTCGATAGTCGATTTTTTTATATGTCCATCGGCCTGAATTCGACTGTTGATGATTTCAAGTCTACTGGCGCAAATTTATTTTCCGGAAAACCTCTTCTGCGAGATTCAAATTGTCCGAAGCGACATTGCATAATACTGCGATGCAATTGACGAATATGCAGTAGTGCATACGGAAATTTATTTTTATAAGCGTAGTTTTTTTTAAGTAACAATAAATCTGGGGGACAGATGAGGGCACAAACTGCGGGAGTCGATTTTTTTCCTGTGGCTGGTTCGGAATGGAGAATAGTGTTAGTTGAATCAACTTATTGCGGCAAAAAATAAAACTTGATTTTATTTTGTAACTTTTTAGCAAAATGTATGATTTTAGGCACCACTATAATAATTTTATACAGTTTAGGGGAAAAGTTGCAATGAATTCTAGTAATGCAACCAAAAGCTATTTCAATCTTTTGAGTCCTATAACCATTGTGCAGCAGTGTTGGGATATTTTTGCTAAATTTTTTGCCACTGAGCACTGGAAATTTAAGAAATCCTATACTGTACTTTTTAACCAAGGCCTAAGTTGGGGAAAATTCCAATATTTTTTATAATCCTGCAGAAAATTTTGAATGAAAAGTTGAAAAAAAAA